AACTCCTGCGCCCCGCCCCGGGGTGTCCCCGCCTGAGTCACCGGGCATTTCGGAAGCTGCCCTCACGTCACGTCCATGTGGAAATCGCGGTGATGGGAACTACGGAATCGGTTCTTTCTTTCTTTCTTTTTTTTTTTGCAGCCGTTTTTCTGCAGAAAATATCAAATGTGGACCAGGGAGGGAAATCAAAAAGACAGAAAACCCAAAAAATCACCCCGGCGCAGGGCCTGGGGCTGGGCTGAGACAAATCGGACTCAGGGGCTTCACAGTCGCCCGGCTCCTCTTCTACGGGAAATCCAGAGAACAAAGAGAGAAAAAAAAAAAAAAAAACAGAGAGAGAGAGAAATAATAGGAAGTAGGGAGGCTTTTGCAAACGCAAAGGGAACAAGAGGGGGGAGGGGAGGGGCCAGGCCACACGGGGAACGCAGCCGCGGTTACTGCAACGACGCATTAATGCAGATGAAAATTAAAAAATTAAAATACCAGTTCCCAGGCTCAGAAAGAAAACTGTGCTGAGCACAGGCCTCATGCTTAGGGTCAGCGCTCCACAGGCCTGGCTGGGATTTGGGGAAAGAAGCTTTCCCAGCAGCACTTCCGCTCAGCCTCAGATTCCGGGCTGGTGGCTGCACCAGGCTCAGGTGACACCAGGCTCCTGGTCCTGCAGCCTTGGATCCTGGGGCAAAGGACAGGCGTGGGTAAAATTGGTCATCCCTCAGTCCCACCTAGTGCGGGTAGGGGGGACGGTGACAGTGAATGCCTGTCATCTCAGCACTCCAGGCGGGCGGCTGAGGGAGAAGGTTTGCAAGTTCCAGACTGCCCTGGACAACAATTTAACAAGACTTTTCCTAAAAAAAAGGAAAGTTTTTAAAAAAGGGCTGGAATGTAGTCGTAGCTGTCTATCCCCAGCACTGAACCAAAAGGATTTTAGAAAGCACTCTATCGAGATGGGCTCTGCGTTGTCTGCCTCAGACCTCCTTATGTGTGTCTCAGAAGTGGTGCTAATCAGCTTCTCCAGGGAGCCTGGTGGCACATGACACTTGTCCCCCACCGCACATGCACCTGTTGCTGTGTGCCTGACACCCCACTGCACCCCTGTCTTGGGGAAGAAAGATATGTGCCCAGCATGGCAGCCACCTGGACAGTGGAGGCGCAGGGCCTATGCAGGGCATGGGATGCATGAGTGCCTTGGCGCCTTCTGTGCCGAGGCATCAGCCTTGGCCCAATGCCCAGAAGGGCTAAACTGCAACCATATTGAAATGCAGGGTGCCATGGAGCCCTTATTGGAGCATGCTCGCTGCCTGGTCAGGACCTGCAGAAACTGGGCAGGGCTGGGGTGGAGGGCACCACGTTGGCAAAGGAAAGCATAGACTCCCCCGGAATGCCACAGCAGGGCCATCTGCCCCTAGTCTTTTATGTCTCTATTTTTGACACATGGTCTTGTTACGTAATCCAGGTTGCTCTTAAACTTTCTTTGTAAACCAGTATGGCCTTGAATTTACAGTAATCTTCCTGCCTCAGCCTCCTAAGTCCTGGGATGATAGATGTATGACAGCATGCCTGGTCATTCCTAGTCCTATTTAGGGCATGTTTTGTTTTTTTGTTTTGCTTTGTTTTTGCGGGTATTTTTTGTTTTTTGACACAGGGTCTTGCTATGTAGACCAGACTGACCTCAAACTCATGGCAATCTTCCTGCCTCAGCCTCCCGAGTACTGAGATAACTGGCATGTGCTACCATGCTGGCTTTGGTCCTAGTGTTCTTAAGCCACTGGCTGGAACCTTTTCCAACTCCAAACCTCTGGGTAGTGTTTCATTTGCTTATTCCTCCATCGGTTACCACTCTAACAGGTTGTCAAGTCAGTAATACGAAATGATGTATCTTGGATACTACAGTTTCCATATGCTTTTTCCATGAAGCTTGGAAAACTGCAGCCACCTGACCAGGGATGTTCAGCTGTGAGTGGTAAGGTGGCCAGTGGGACTGATGTGGCCTTCTCTGAAGCCACACTTCTCAGGCGGCCCCGTGGCTAAGCCTCATGGGAAAGAGTCCACCAAGGTCAGTCTGGGGGTCTGTGGCTCTGTGACTCCCTTAGGCAAACAGGGGCTCAGTCCCACCCCGGAAGCCTCCTGGGTGTGGAGAAGAAGAAAATGCTGGCTGCGAAGGGGTTAATCCCCTCTCTCCTTCTGGTCCTGCCCCAGCCTCCTCCTCTGTCAACTCTGGGCCCAGCCCATCAACCCAGCCCACCTGCCTTGCTGGCCCCATGCCCATGGCCCCTCTCTGGCTCCAGTCTCCTGAGCGTGCTGAGTGAGGAAGATGCCAGAAGGGAGCTCTAAGGCCAAGTTCCTGCCACTTTCAGCTCCCCAACAGTCACCACCTTGTCTGCCAGGAATTGTGACAAGGACAGAGCAGCGAGTTGTGGGAACTTAGCCCTGGATTTTGTTCTTCCTCCATTTTCCCTGACTCTACTACTGATGTCATAGATGCTCACCTTGGACAAGTACATGATTTTAATCCTGGCTACTTGGAGAGCTGAGGCAGGAAGACTGTAATTAAAGCCAACCACAGCAATCTAGCGAGACCCTCATTAAAAAATACAAAGGGTGGGAAGCTGAGCATTGTGGTACATGCCTATAGACCTAGCACTTGGGAGGCTGAGGCAGGAGAATCATGAGTTCAAAACCAACCTGGAATATATAACCTGATTCTGTCTCAAAATAAGGGTGTGCATTACAAGACAGTGAGAAGCAGGAGAACCCTAATATGAGAGGCAGACTGGACAAGCAGGCTGGGGATCACTCTCAGCTCCAATGTAGTTCAAGAGCTCCCCTCCCCTCCCCTTTTTCCCTCCTTCCTTTTGGACAGACAGGGTCTCACTATATGCCTCAGGCTGTTCTTGAGCTCGTTATGTAACCAAGACCTCAAACTCATGATCCTCCTGCCTCAGCCTCCCAAGTGCTGGTGTCACAGCTGTTCACTCCCACAGATGGCCCAATGCCGATCCTTTCTTGATCAAGACCCAGCGACAGTGTCTCCCTGAGCATGCACTGAATGCGGGGCCATGGCAATCACAGGTCAAAGCAAAACTGGACCTTTTGTGTCCACTGCACCATTCACTTGCCCCTTTCCCAGCACTGTCCTCTTTGGATTATTAGCCTCTTTTTTTTTTTTTTTTTTTCCTGTCACTAGGCATTGAATCCAGGACCTCTGCCCTGAGCTACATGCCGACCCTTCTTAAGTTTTGTATTTTCAGGTAAATTCTCCTAAATATCCCAGGCTAGACTAGAATTTGTAATCCTCCTGCCTCAGCCCCCCAGAGTGCTGGCATAACAGCTATGTGCCACCACTCCTGGTATTTGTGCTTGGGAAACAGGCAGATCTCTACTAAGCAGCCTCCAAAACAGCCTTCGGGAAGGGTGGGAGTTTAGAGATCACACGGAAAGTTTGGATCCTGTTTCAAATGCTAAGACCCTTGGCTGGGCGGAGGCTCCTGTAAGATCAGCTTCTGAGGAGGCCACTGGTGCTCCTCGTGGCCCACAGCCAGAGCAGAAAGGCCAGGGATTTCTGCACCAGCCAGGACCACTTTCTGCTGACCTGTGGGTCCTCCCTAGGGCACTGCTGCAGGGATGATCTGGGCGGGAAGGAGCCACTGGAGCAGCTGCACTGGGAGCAGTGGAGGTCAGCAGTGAGTCACCCCTGCGACCCTGAAGGGGCCTCCGTCCTGCACTTCTGTCCCACCTGGCCTGGATGTTGGATTCCAGTTGAATATTTGCTCAACACTTGGCTGAGTACTTTGACTACCTCACAGATCTGTTGAGCCCTCGTTTTCCTTCTGCTTCTATGGAACCCCCTGTGAATGACCAAACATGAACAATGGCAAAGGCCTAGAGGGTGTTCTCTGGAACCGCCTGGGCTGTCAGCAGCCCACTAACCCAGGCTGGAAGAAAATTCCTGTAATCTGGGTGGGTGTCAGCCTGAGGGAAATTCGCCTTGGGGCTCTTTTTTCACTTCCTAGGTTGACTTGAGTTCTTCCTAATCCTGCTCCCACCCCCTCACCTCTGGAAAAGGGTTCTTGGTTTTCTCCCCTGAGATGGCTGTCTTCTGGGCTGGCTAATGAGGGGATTCATGTCCCTCCTCCCAAAGGGCCACAGTGTGGAGTTTTGTTAGATGTCCACTGGAGCCAGAACTCAGTCACACTACTACTGGAAGTTGCAGGCTGGAGAAATACCCGCCATATTTCCATTATCCTTCCTTTCTGGTTGTCTCTGGGTGAGGCAGGACTGGGAATCTCATGAGCCCAGGGCCTGTGCACTGAGCTACACCTTCAGCCTCTGCCTGCCATCCATCCATCCATCCATCCATCCATCCATCCATCCATCCATCCATCCATCCATTTTTGTTGTTGTTTTTCTTAGACAGGGTCTTACTAAATCACTAAATTGACCAGCCTGGGCTCGAACTTGGGATTTTCCTGCCTCAGCATCCTGGAGTTGCAGAATTGCAGGTGTGCACCCTCCCACTTGGCACAGTTCCACGGCTCCGAGAGTCCACAGTTTCCACGCGGGGGCTGGGAGCCGCGTCGCTGTATTAAATGTGCACACATTCCCCCTTTATCATTTCCCTCACCGACAACGCCCCACTTCTATCAAGGAGCTACCTTCCTCTCTCCACTACACCCATCTACATTTCATCCTGAGGGGTGTGTGTGTGTGTGTGTGTGTGTGTGTGTGTGTTGTGGAGAGATTAAAGTCAGGGCCCACTTTCCCAGCCCCTACTTTTCTTTAAAGACAAACAAATATTCAACCGTAACAACCAAAACAGG